TTTTTGATGAGTTTGAGACTCTCAAGAGGCCAAACTCATTTCTGTCAAATATCAAAAACCAGTTTCTTTTAAAACTCTATAAAGTGTTTCATAGTTTGATACAGTGTTAAATACAATGTACAGTACCAAGCATTTTTCTCTCCACATCCCCCCCCCCCTTATTTGTATCAAAGAAAGCTGAGCCCAAAGTTTTTTTTACAGTTTTATCTACAGATCTGAAACTATCCACTTAATGTGTTATCAGAATTTCAGTAAATATGCACAAATCTCATTTTGACAGCGTCCTAGTAGACCCTGTAAAGCCTCACACATAAAAATATAACATCTACAGAATGAGATCTTTTACTTTAATAAAGCGACAACATCACAATTAAAAAAACACACTGACTGCACTCTTAAGAATTGTTGCAAACATGAGCTGCAGCTATTTCTTTAAATATGAAGTATTGACATTTTTAATGAACTACAATGAGGGTTTATGAAGCTTCCTGTTAACGTGAAGCTGATGGGTAGAAAACTCATTTTGTTCCTTCACATTTGGTGAATCATCTGTAACCATTTATCATTCTTGCAGGTTGATTCTCATGTATTAGATGTTAACTTGTGAAGTACCTGTCACATAAATGTTGTGTAGTAAAAATACAGAGTTTGCATCTGAAGTATAGAAAGCAGAAAATGGAAATACTTTAAGTGCATATGCCTCAATATTTTATCTACAAGAACTCTATTAGAATCCACTGCTGCCTTGTGTGTGTGGTGTGTGTGGTGTTGTGTGTGTGTGTGTGTGTTTACTTGATTAGGTACTTACTTGTTCTGATACTCCTTGATGACTTGATGAATGGAAACCTTCAGAGTGACGTTGTCGTAGCGTGCATGGCTGCGGTCCTTATAGATCCGAAACTCTGCAGCCGTCACCGCCTCGCCTTCGGGGATCTGAGTCAGATCGAAGCGGAACTCCTTGTAGTGTCTCCGTTGGTGAGAGAAATCTTTGTCTTTCTCGACTGGGAGAGAAAATGTTTTATGATGAATTTCATTTTTACTGGCAGGAGCATAAAAAAAAAAATAAATGAAAAAAAAACCATGCACTGATCCAAAAAACATGACTTCAACTGGTGATGCGTGTTGCTCAAAGGAGGAAATATGGCGGCTTTAGGTGACAGCAAAAAAAAAAAAGTTATTTATCACATCTTCTTTTACATTCCTGGTCCAATCCAAACATTTTCACTATCAACAAAAGCACTTTCCAGTTCATTAAATCAGTCAACTGAATACAGGTAGCCGTTCGCAGACAGGCCCTCTACTGTGTTCCTTACTGCATTCTCTGGCCATGATGAATGGGCTGTCAGTTAAGAAAAACAGGCTGATTTCAATTAAAGACACTTTGGTCTGCTCCTCAAGTGAGCGTTAAGACCAGACAGGATCCTCCGACGTCATATGAACGACTTACTCTGACCTCGTTTCTGACCTCACGCTGACCTCCTGTAGCTTCAATGCCCTACAAGTGTGTTATAACTTTAAACTAAGTAACTTTTAAAATACTAAGTGACTTTAGAGATCTTTTCACATTCATTGGAGAAAATGTTTGATATGTATTCAGCTGCAGGGAGGGAATAAGATATGTATCACTTGATTTTTTTTTATGGAGAAGCCTGCTTTCTATTTTTGTAGGGAAGATGAGGCATCAAAGCACCTTATCAATATTATGAAAATAAACAAGGATAAAGTCACTACCACAGTGTCACTCCCCTGCAGGGCAGCAGAGAAGAGCATGCGGCTGAGGTCAGGGGGACCGTCTGACATCCTTGGGCGATATCATGCAGTGCGTTTCCCTGATATTTTATCAAGTGAGAGCGCCTGCCGCTACTTAACACACACAAGTCAGAGGTCAGGTCTGACTTTTACCCACTGAGCGTGTTCCATTTTGTTAGCCACGGGCAGTAATGCGAAGCAGAAGTGCCACCGAGAGCATAAAGAATTTAACTTTCTAATCTCTACAGATAAGATACTCACTTGATCGTCTGCAAGAGGTGTATGTACTCTGTGTATGGGACAGAATCAGTATTCTGTTTGTTGAATTGAAGACTGCTCTCTCTCTGCTTCTCTTCGCATCATGTATATTTATGAAGGTTAAAAAGCTCCGACGGTTACAGTAAGCGTATTAAACTGCATGAAACGCGGCTCAGACGTTAGTAAAACAGTTGAGGTCAGCAGCTATATGTGGTTGTACTGTAATAAAGACAGAGCCCCATTGAACACTTCACTGACAGTCCCCAGAACGAGAGCGGAGCTTTCAAGGCTGACAGTGTACATGCCCTGCTGTAGTGGTAAGTGGAAACAGATGGGCTCAGGCCAAGGTGAGGGATTAGACTCCCAAGCAACACTACACAAAACATTTTACATGTTTTGATTTGTATTAAGAAAATTAAATCAACACTGCAACACAATAAAGTATGTGCAGTGGCGTTTTTTTTTGTTTTCTCCCCTTAAGTGTCCTTTTTTTGAGTGATTTTTTAATGGCATGCTTCCTTATATTTTATCTCTCATTAAAGAATAATGACAGACTCCAAATTGTGCAAATATGAAAGACAGAGCTGCTTCGTTTTTCTCAGTGACAGTGCCTCAATACAAACAGACATAAGTCAATATCACTCCCCTTTTTAACAACAGGAAATCATTTAGACCAATTTTCTCAAGGTCAGACAGTCATCTTGATAAGGTTTCTCTGAACTGCGGGGGTTAACGGGTCCCGGCTACCGAACAAACACAATCACTCTCCAGATCAGCTTCTCCTTTTAATAGAAAGCAGACAAATTGTGAAAGGTCAAAATGTTTTGGGTCTAATTCTGTTAAACACGAAATATTTCACACAAGGCGGGAAAAAAAAAGCAACTGAGCACATTAGAGGGCCAGAGGAAGACTGATGTCTGAAAAATGTAGTCACTCACATGGAGACAGCATAGCAGGGGTCACTTAAAACTAAATCTACATGTGTGAAATGAATTAAGGCAAGATGAATAAACTGCTTGTGCTGAAAGTAACACAACATACATTAAAGGGGATTGCAATATGTGCAATGCTCAAAAAACGTGGAAGGCTTTCAAGCTGCTGGATTTTAAATGATCTGTCTGTAGTTTGGACCCATTGCAAATTTTACATGTTCGTTTTATTAAGCTTTGCATCAAGTACGCAGACTTAGGATACTCCAGGAAAATGTCAAATAATACCTCAAATTTCCTAAACTGTGGAAGGAATGAAGACGTGTTGGATAGGGATTATTTTTTACTTTATGGTATTTCTTTATAAATGTGCTGCAGCACTGAAGCTAAATAAAATGAAGACTTTGTTGCTTGCGTTCGAATATATATATAATATTCTGAGTAAACAGGTGATAAAATACATTTTAATGCACTTTAATGCAACTTACCTAAATTGACAAAACTCATCACCATGTCGGCATCATTGAGAAAGTTGTTCTCGTGCGCTGAGGTGAGCGCGGGGCTGTGGCCTAACAGAGGGGCCGCGCGATAAGGCAGTGGCACGCGGGAGTACCCGGCATGCTGCGGGCTGTAGTAACCCTTCCTGGAGTGGCCCTGAGCCTTGGCACTGAAGCTCTTCCCCGGGCCGACCTCCTCCTCCTCCACGGCCATGGCGTTGTACAGGTCGAGCATGAAGAGCGGCGCCGAGGACGCCTGCTTCCCGGGACTGAAGGGCCTCGGCCGGTGAGGCAAGCCCAGGATGGAGAGGATCTCTCTCTGGATCTCCCTGCGTTCGTGATTGCGCAATCTCCTGTAAATAAAGCTCGAGTGCACATGGTTGTCACTTAACCCGCAATGAGTGCAGGACAGAAAACTCAAGCAGCTCCACGCGAGTCCGAATACAGCACGGTGCAAAGGTGAAAGCGCTGTCATCTTGACAAAATTTTGAGTTTTGAAGATGACCTACATCGCACTCTTTTGAGCAAAAAAAAAAAAAAAAGTTATATCTCTGCTAATGCAGAATCATAGATTTTCCATTTTTGGGAAGATGCACCACAACTTTCCCCGGTGTTCAGCCCTTTCTACAAATTAGGTATCAACAGTCGCTGCTCCTCTCCGGTTTTTATTCCTCCAGGGTCCATCCAGAAGTCTCTGCTGTGCCACACCAAGTATTTATGGAGCTGTGACCCTGTCCCTCACCTTACTCCTCTGTGATGCGAAAAAAAAACGGAGGTACGCCCATTAAGTCGAGGGATAACCCCGGAGTTTCCAGTGGATGAAATGTGTTCAACCGTGTCAGAAAATGAGCAGACAAGAGTTGCACTCCACTCATGCCCCGGCTCGCATTTTCCTTCTTTTTTTTTGTTCACCTCCTGAGAGCGTTTTGGGGATAGTTGCCCTCTGAGTCCATCCCACACTCAACTCTTGTTTTTGCATCCACCTCTAGCGGCCGCAGTAAAACTTCCAGCCCCGCTCCCATGATGAATGTGGCGGCTCAGGAGTGTAAAAGGAGACACTTGAAATCTGAGAGGCCGTCTTAACGAGTGAAAGAATAATGACAGAGCCTTTTAATCACCTCAAGTTATTGAAGTCTGCGTGTTTATGGGAGAGGGCTGCAGCTGAATTCAGCAACAAAAAGGAGCCTGTTGTTTTTTTTTTTTTCACAATGAGTCATAATAATGAGATAAGTAAAACAATATTTTATCAATCAGTCTATCAACTTAAAATAACTCCACTTTTAATGTGCTGCACTAAAAATACAGTCGAAACATAATTCCCACATAGAAACAGATCAGGCAGAGATAGAAGTACCACAAAGGCTGATAAAGATAAACTGCAAATTCAGTTTTTAAAACCTTAGACCAACTGCAGATGTTTATACTCTAAAGTGATTTTGATCTCTATAACTATAGGACAATGCAGACTGTAATTTTAAATGAAGGCTAACAGCCTTAATACAAAAAGCTCCGCTCTCATAGGAGTATTAAGTAAAGAACATGTTGAAGTAAGTATGGTGGGATAATTAAAAACATAAACAGTCAGATGTTCCCATGTGAGAGAAAAAGGAAACGTCCCTCATAGGTGAAGTTATTCCTGCAAATGATGAGATGTTACCACACAGCGCCATCTGGTGCTCAAAGATGTTGTTTCTGAAGTTTGATAGATAAAACACATCCTACACAGGCTTGAGCTGTGAATCCTCAACTCCAGCTTCATATTTTCCTACATTGTAATTATCAAATGATCCGTTTAGATAATTCTGTAAAAAGTTAAACATCTTGAATACATCACAAGGACAATATTGGATTTATGATCAATCAATCAATTTATTTGTATAGCGTCAACTCATAACAAGTGTTATCTCGAGACACTTTACAAAAAGCAGGTAAAAGACGCTGATGTGACAAAATCCACCTCAAACGTAAAAGAACAGGACCGACCAAGTTCACAAATCTTTAAGATATTTTTATTCTTAAAAAAAGATCCATACAAAAGTCATTTTTACAAAAAGGTAAACAAAAAATACTAAAGCTGTTAAAGACACATCGTTGTTGAAATAGACAGCCTTAACCTTTTTTTCTTTTTCTTATAAATAACAATAAAATACCTGCTACAGTAATGAGAGGGAAGCCTCAAGGACACTTTTGACATAATTGTTCCAAAAAGAAAAGAAGCATTTTCTTGAATCAAGAAACATCATTTTGAAAGTGGAATACAATGTTGTTAAAATTAATGTTTAATGTGAAGGAATCATTTATGATATAAAGTATTTGCTGTTGTCATATGAGATAAGTACTTAAGATTCAACTGAATGCCATAGAGGATTGATTCCCACCCAAATCTCAGAGGGGGCGCAAAGTCTAGTTTTCTCTGAGGTTGTCAAAAAAAAGATTTGCACATATTCACTAAAAATCATGACACACTTATATGCAAAGTTAATACAGCGGTCTTTTAGTAAAATGAAGTGTGTGTTGGCCAATTCTATCAATGAAAACAATTTTTGACAGCAATGTATCCCTCTTTTCATGTGGGTCCTCGGGGGGAGGGCGGGGGGGGGCTCAGCTTTTCTTAGATACAAGTAGGGGGAGGGGGTGACTCAAAGGAAAAAAAAAATGTTTGAACCACTGCTATAGAAACTCAAGCATACAGCAGCTCATTATCAGCTACATGAACTTACAGGTAAAACGTGTAAATTCCACACGTTACCTATTGGTGATATAATTCACCTAGAAAAAGAGAAGTCATGTTTCTAATGGACCTGCACCTAATTAATGTAGAAAATATAAGGAGGAACATGCAACAAAGAAACATCAGGGGGCAATATGGGAAATTTGTACCAGCAACTCTGGCCAATGAAAAATCCAGACATACATATAGTTCATGAGTTTCAGGTGTTCAGATGAGAGGGATCCAATGGAGCCTATTCTAAAGTATCGTAACACCTTTAAAAAGCACAAAGCATTTAAAAAACGACATGTAAATAATACAAAATGAAAGTATGAAGGGATCTGGATCTGTTGACTGTCTGAGATCACACACATGTTGTTGGAGGAGGTCTGTTTTTATTGCCACGACAGAGTAAAACTATTAAGATGAGATCTTCCTGAGAATGTCTGTTTGTTCCATGACAGCTTGAAACGATGCATTACGTCAATAGTTTGGCCCTTTGCTGTAAGGATCCCTCCTCATCATGCTACCATAGCACATGGATGGATCGCAGACCCCAGGCTGACCGGGGATGCCAGGATTTCCACTTTTGCCCTCTGCTCCGTTTATACCAGGAGACCCAGGTTTACCTGGAGGACCTGGCTTACCGTACCCCTGGGGACCCATTGGACCTGTGGAGATAAAAATACTAAGTCATGGCCGCCATATCTGAAATCTTTTGAATATCCTCAGTATATTGGGATCCACATTTCTTACCTGGGGCCCAGGTGGCCCTTGGTCTCCAATGGTGGATCGACCAGGACTCCCTCTCTCACCCTCTAAACCTGGTTCCCCTAGAAACACAAGAGTATTTGCTAAAGCCTCAAACAAAAGCCTTTTATCTACTGACTGTTCAATTTGACGCCGGTCTTACCTTTCAGACCGTTAATTCCACGTGCCCAGGCCGACCAGGGAAGCCTGGCTGTCCCCTGGAACCACTAAGTCCAGGAAAACCCCTGAGTCCCTGGGCCCAGTTTGACCTGGAGGACCAGGAGATCCAGGCCGACTTTGACATCTTTTACAGGTACCCTGCTGGTTGCTCAGCAACAATAAAGGTAGCTCAGCTATGACAATGGGAAGATTTTAAATGTGAGGTTAAAACACAAAGAAGCACATCATCATTAAAGTCTGTAGTGATGGTTTTCTTTTTTTATAGTTTAACCCGTGTGCCATTGGTTAACATGCAGGAGGCGGGGTTTATAACCTATACTCCAACCAGTCAGTAGGGGGTGCTCTATAATTTTGGCTTCACTTAATGTAAGGTGTTGCGCTGTCCATTCTTTATACGGTCTTTGAGTGAAACTCACACTGAAGAATCTCTCTGCAGATCTGACGTATGTGATTGTCCGACATTTGACTTGCCTGGAATGAAATTGATAGACCATGTGTATTTGAGGTGATTTTATACTTTTTTTTGTTAGTCAACATTTGATACAAACATCATAAGGTTGGCAAAAAAAATTGATTCTTCGATACTTTTTCTTAACACATTTTAAAACAATACAATCTCCGTTATTTTAATGATCAATGGTTTCAAGATACCAAAGTAAAAAAAAACTGCAATACGTATCTTGACAACCCTATAACTAACTATTCAGAGTTATTAACACAGCATAATTTTGCAAACATACAGATTGTCCTTCAGGTCCAGGTGGGCCCGGGATCCCACTGTCCCCCTGCAGCCCTCGGGGGCCAGGTGGGCCTGAGTGACCAGACTGTCCAGGTCGTCCCACTTGACCTTCTTGACCTCTCTGCCCCGGATCCCCTGTTGTCCCTTTCTGGCAAAAATACCACCCGAGAGTTAGAAATACACACAACAATGAAGGTTGGCTGGAGGTATGAGGTTGGATGGAGGTACAGCGATTAGTGAGTTCAGCTTAACATACCTCTCCTTTTAGTCCTGTTGGCCCGGTTGAGCCCTGTCAATGAAAGTCAAGATAACAAATTTAAAATGAGAAAACACTTAGAGAGCCCATACCTCCAAAGAAGATGAAAAAATTCATATTTGTGATTTATGATGTGAAGCCTTAATGTAGATATGAATCAATATGCACATTTATAGAGATTTTTTTTTTATTTTGTAGTGAAATACAAATACAAATTTAACACAAATCAGAATCATGAGCACTCAGTGTGCAACATGCTTTTATAGCAGCACCTATAGGCTAAGTTAGACATCTGCAGTGTTACTTTCCCATGTCCTTATCTCTACTTAACAAGATTACAGTTATACATGAATTTGCACAGGAATTGTTGTAACTTATGTCATATTGGAAAAACTCATGAATGCAAATGAAAGAACATAAAAGTGGTCAAAACAAAGATAATGTGAATAAATACGATTTTTGTTGCACCAAGGATTCCAAGTAGAAACATCTTATTTCCTTGTCTCACAGTAAAACAATTACAATGCATAATAAATGGCCACATGATGGCGCTATCCACATTTAAAATGAAGTTACAGTTTCTTTGATACCCTACTTCAACAGACCAATACACATTTTGGCTAACCTAGCTACTAACAATAAATCCCCTTCCCCTAACCCATTATATGACATTAAATCATACAAAGGCTCAAACTCACATGTTCCCTGGTCGACCATTCACTCCTCTTTTTCACCTTTCATTCCCTGACGAGGAAACGAAACAGATGTAAGTCACAAATAATACAAAAATCTCTGTTTGTAAATCTGGTACTATCCTGTCAATAGTACTACAGTTTAAGTTTGTCATGCGAAAAATCCAGTCAACACATGATTGATGCTTATTTACAACAGTGAATGGGAGTTAATGGGTTTTAAATACGCTCTTTAAACACTTTGGATTATATAAATATGGCTATGATTCCTTGTTCCATTCCTTGAGTTAATTTTGTTTGCCTGACATCAAATTGATTTAGTTAAGCGTAAAACCATGTTGGAAGTAAGAACAGCAAATTTCCAGTTATAATTCCAACGTATGAAAAGAGCTGACATATTGTTGTTTTCCAAAAGTGAAAGAAATATGTCAGACATGAGGCTTTATTTCCACTGAATTCTTTAAATATATCAATTGCTGCAAAGATGATATATCTCTACTGCTAGTCATAATTTAGTCATTAAACTACAGCGTTGAAAACAATCTAAATAAGTTTTGGATAAAAACAACTGCTCTTGACTATTCACCCAATGGGGAGAATTTGCACATGTGTTGGTGTAAAGCTTGTAATGTATCGTCAACTTTTAAATCTGAGGCGCTATTTTAGATAAGCAATACAGAGGGCAACACAATCATAGAGCGAACTGCTTGTGTGACTAAGTAAGCGTTGCTTGTAGTGTCATTTTGGCTTCGGTCTTACCGTCTCTCCTCTTTCACCTTGACTTCCTCTTTGTCCCTGCAAATAGAAATGGATTATAACTATAAATAACATTAAAACAAACAAGGTTGCAAATGACTTACACAAACATGAACATGCACAATACATTAATTTACTACTTATACAGAGTCTTAGGACACATTTCCAAAATGAGCACAGAGTAATTGCTGAAAAAAAACACCAGTTCTGATTGATGCATGTCTGTTGCATATAATTTATGTAACAAGTATAAGTCATTTATACAATTATATTTTTGCTAAAAGTTACATGAAATATTCAATAGAAACCAACATTATTTTAATTATTGACCCACCTGAGTTCACTCTGACCAGTTGGGAACAAAAATGAATTTAAGAAGATATACCGTACTTATAATTCCACGAGGGGATATTACATTTTACACTGTGTTGTTCAACATACTACACACACATAGGCTGAAATACACATACGCATGAACAGGATCCTTTGGACATGCACTAAGGGAGAGAGGGGGGGGAGGGTTCGGTGCCTTGCTGAAGAGCACCTCGGCAGTGCTCAGGAAGTGAACTAGCACCTCTCCAGTTACCAGACCCATTTCCAGACTTGGTCCGTACTGGCACTTGAACTGGCCACCCTCGGGTTCCCAACCCAAGTCCCTATAGACTGAGCTACTGACACATTATCAGAAATCTTACATGTGAAAATGTCCCAGCTGAAGGAAATGGGAAGAAACATTAATGTTATGGCCAAGTTAGAAAAACATGTTATTAGAAATACCTTGCTGCCCTTCAGGCCTGGCATGCCTGGGTGCCCCGGCTGACCTTCTCTCCCTGGTTCTCCTGCACTCCCCTTTAAAAGTATTCAACAGAAAGAGAAATTAATTCAAATGGAAATAAACTTACTCTACATATTACTGAAAACAGGTCATGGAAACTCATCAGTTCAATCAGAGTTTTAATGATAACCCTGAGTGTTTTACTAACCCAATTTCTGAAAAGGTGGGACATAGTGTAAAATGTAAATAAAAACAGAATGCAATGATTTGCAAAACATTGAAACCCCATGTTTAATTGAAAAAAACCCAAAGAGACTGGAAAAGTTATGAAATACAAAAAACACCTGATGGAACTGCACAAGTTAACAAGATTATATGGCAACTGGTTAGAAACATGATTGGGTATAAAGAGAGAATCTTTCTGGAGTGAAGTAGGTGCAGGGTTCTTTAACTTGACGTTGCAAAGAATCTGGGGTTTTCATCATCCACATTATAATCTCATTAAAAGATTCAGGGAGTATGAAGGAAATGTCAGTATGCAGGGGAAGAGGTCAAAAAACATATTGGGTGTCTGTGATCTTCTTCTGTCCCCAACTCTCTTTGAAAGTTTTGCAGGCGTCAAAATTCAAAATAACCGTATAATGTCCAATGACATTTCTGAGTTTGAACACTGGAAATATTGTCTTTCAATTAAATATGGGGTTTCAATATTATTCAAACAATCAAAATGTATTTGTATTGACATTATACACATCATCCCGGGTTAACTGTAGATTCTTTAAAAGACATACCACAGGTCCTGGTGTCCTTGTGTGCCTGGACTTCCACCTTCACCCTTATTCCCTTGATAAAGATTAAAAACATGTCATATTTTAATAAAAAATACAACAGAATTACATCACATCCTATCACTGGCTTGCACTGCAGCATATCTCCACAAGGTTGTGCTGTTCTCAAGCTCCACTTTTAATAGCGTCTAGACGTATGTTTTCATTTCCAGTTGAACAGCCTCGGTAATTGCAGTCTGAATCTCAGCCATAAAATCAGAGTATCGCCAGGCCTGTCCAAAAACTGGGTTTCACTCGTGTGCCATTGACCAATACACATTGGCCTGTTCAAAGCAGATTAGCTAATGAAAAGTGATCCGGAGACAGAGCCTCCAGCCAGACGAGCCCAGACTGCTTACGTTTCCCAATAAGATTCCACTGACGAAAGCATCTAGAAGCTAATCTTAGCTTAATTTAGCACTGCTGTTGTGGCCAATAATCGTCACTCGTGCAAAGTTGTATTTTAGGAAAAACAGTGACCTAACAGAATATGTAATACTCCCTTGCCAAACGGCTTTCTATGCATTTCAAACGTCTCTATAGTTGGAGAGCTCTATGAATACCACTATCCAAGCTAGTATTCATATTCAACACAATGCATTATGCATAGACTGGATGATAGACTGGATGATAGCTGGATGATAAAGGGAAAGTTATGCATAATATGACATGCCATATTGAACCGCTTTGTTTGCTCATTTGCAGCCTGTGTGGACTGCATCTTGCCTGACATGGCTCAGCCTGCAGCTTGTCACTTTCTAATGCTAGCTTGTGTTGATTGATTTGCGTTATTGACTTTTCTGGGTCACAGTTTGGGGCTGCTGTGCTCACAGCCTGAGGGGGATAAACTCAGATTATACGTATGACACACAGTTAATCCATTTTTAAAGACTATTAAGTCCCCTGATGACTGCTGGTAGGATAAAAGTCAGACATTACTTCTGCTAGCGTCATTGCGGCTTTGATCACTAACAGCACAGCTGTTTAAAGAAGCTCAAACAGGATTTCAAAAACAGGCATACGTAATTACCTTAGGTCCGGTTGTCCTTTTAACCCAGGTGTGCCAGTAAACCAATCTCACCACAGCAAGAAAAAAATCTTGTCAACACATCTGATTCAGCATATAAAAACCTGTCCACAAATAGTCTTACTCATGACTTAC